CACTGAATATAAGAAGAGATGTTCAAGGAGTTTCTCTTTAACGCATTAAGCATATTAAAGACTGTAATTTTTGTAGCTGTAATTCAATTTTACCTCATATTCACATTTTCCAGAACTGTCCTACATGTTGTAACAGACACCTTGTCTCTTCCTCCACCCTCGTTAAGGAAATTACAAGGTACTTAAGTTGGAATATTTCAATGTACAGATCATTCTTTAAAACAAATCCAGACACTACTAAAATCTAAAGCATACATGATGTGCAAGTTATACTCTCGTTATCAGCCTTTTAATACTGACACTAGAGAAAGAGATTGAACTGCCAGCCTCTATTTGACAAACACAGTATCTAAAATAAATATGAAAAATTCAAATGTTACTCTGCTCCAAAAAGTACAGCTCCGAAAAGAGATGAAGAGGATGTAAACACAGACCTTGAACAAACTTAAATTTCACTGACTGGCTGACTTGGTGTGAATTTGCTTGTTCAGCACAGGATTTGAGCCTCCTGCTCATGAACACTCTGAACCAAACTCATTCAACAATTTAGCAAACATTCACAGAGAAAGGTAACACTGTTTCTTGGGTGTGCCCCCCATTTCACCAACAGTGTCATGGAAATACAAATCCCGATATAAAATTTCATTTGCCATTGGTCAGGTCCAGTTTCTAAAGATCCAGAAGAGCTATAAATTGTTTTTCAAGGGGAACCACATGTTCCATTTTCACCTGCTATCAAAGGCAGAAGGGCTGGCTGAACCAGTCCAGTTTGATCTGGGCCAACCAGGGAAGAACAAAAAGTCAGTTTGACTGAGGTGAGGTGTCAACATACACACAAAGTAATAATCAACATCATCAATCACTTATAAAGGAGACAAAATCAGAGCACAGAAGCAACAAGACGAAAAACTGGAGGGAGAATGGTTAAGACAAAGCAGTATGTAGTTGCTATGGCAAAACCTATACTTTCTACTTTAAATTATATAGAACCCAAGCTCACATTCAGAATTATTATGGAAGGCCTGGAAAACAACAGGGGCTGCTGTTATTTACCTTGAGAAGGGTTTACTTTTTTTGCTGTTGCCCAGAATGGTTGTCCCTGCTGGTCCCAGCTTGGCACTTTCCCGTAACCAGTTGGCAGGAGGCAGCTTCAGGTCTGTTTTCTCCTGCAGACGAGCAAAGGCTGCTTGAGGAGGGGCTGAGGAGTATTTCACCACAGCACTGCTCTTCACCTCATTGCCTCCAAGGAACAGCACCGACCCCTGGTTTCCACAGAGAATTTAAATTAGCCTTCTATGTGCTGGCAAATGAATCTATCAGGCTTGCTCTGTGATAACTTATTTTTAATACTACGTGAGCAAAACCCCATCTTATATTCATTTACCTTTCCCCAGCACATACAGTTTTCCAGTTATCACAATTCCAACTCCTGTCAAGCATAAACTTCACTTTAGGAATTATCACAGAATCATTTAGGGTGGAAAAGATTATCAGCTCAAATCTGTGATGGATCACCACACAGTCACCCAGACCAGAGCACTGAGGAAAACAGGTAGTCTTTCCTTGGACATCTTCGTGGATGGGGACTCCACTACTGCCTAGGACAGTGGGTTGTCCTGACTTGACAACCTTTTCCATGAAGGAATTCTTCCTGATGTCCAACCTGAGCCTCCCCTGGCCCAGCCTAAGGCCATTCCCTCTCCTCCTGTCTCTGTTCCCTGGGAGCAGAGCCTGACCCCCACTGCAGAGCCAGAAATTCCTCCTGAGCCTCCTTTTCTCCAGGCTAAGCCCCTTTCCAGCTCCCTCAGGAGCTCTCCAGCCCCTCAATGTCTTTCTTGACATACCAGCCCCAGAGCCAATGCCAGGATTTGAGGCTGGACCTCAGCAGTGCCCAGCACAGGGGGACAGCCACTGCCCCGTTCCTGTAGCCACACTGCGGCTGATCCAAGAAGGATCCAAGGATGCGGCTTATCCAAGAAGGACAGTGGCCTTCCTGTCCACCTGGGCACACTGAGGTATGAGAATGAAGTGCCTCCAAGGTCAGCTGCCCACACAACACAAAATCACTCAGAAAGGCTAAAATAAACACGTGACTCCCACTGAAGTTTGTCAAAGTAGGTGTTTATTAGCATCAAGTGCTCACTAACACCAACATTACCACCAACATTAAAGCTAAACACGCTTCTGCCTTAGCAAATAATCATAAATTAAATAAGCCTCGTGTCTGTCTATTTCTTTTCAAACACAGCAAAACACGCAGCTGTCACCCGCGTGCGAGGAGCTTTGAACTAACACATGTCGAGGGAAAAACAGCTCCACAGGACACCACTTACGTAAATGCAATGTACTTAGGCATAACAACACCAACACTGCTCGCAATTAACGCTTAATCATAATTAGCGCGTTCCCTACCGCACTCCGGCCCTGACAAACCGGAAAGAGGATCAAAAACACCGCTTCAATTAAAACTCCACTGGGGGCTGTGTCTATAGCCACGGCTCGACCCCCCCGCCCCTCCTCAGCCCCGCTACCTCCCCTACCACCGCCCCCCCTCAGCGCCGCTCACCTGCTTGGGCTCCTCGGCGTCTCCCCTCAGCGGGGCAGCGGCGCTCGCGCCGCAGGGCTCCTCCATAGCCCGGGAGTGGTCCGGGAATGGAGCTGGGAATGAAGCCGGGAAGGGCCGGCGAGAGCGCAGCCGCTTCCCGGGGACGTCCGGCCGGGAACCGCTGCCTCTCGCGAGACTTTTCGAGAAGGTGCGAGAAGGGCGGGCTCTGAGGGCGGCGCCGTGAGGGGAGGGAGTGGCGGTGGCTCCGTGAGGGGCGGGCGTGGCGCGCCCAGTGGGATCAGTGAGTCTTTGAGGGTGGAAAAACACGTGGCCCAGCTGTATCCGATCCCTACCTTGGCAATTACACCAAGACAAGGAGTGTCACGTCCAGTCGTTCCTTAAACGCCTCCCGGGATGGGGCTCCACTGCCTCCCTGTGCAGCCCCTTCCAATTCTTGGCCTTTCCATGAATAATTTTTCCCTAATCGCCAATCTAGACCTCCCTTGGCACAGTTTGAGGCCATTGACAGCTGAGCCAGAAGGTCCCCCCCAGCCTCCTTTTCTCCAGGCTTGTTTGGCTTTCCTGGATAACTGGGACCTTAATGAAACAAGCAAAAACTTGATGAGGTGGTACCTCACCATGGGAGAGGATTGAAAATTGCAGTGTCCTGCCCTCTGCTTGTACACTGAGTTCAACAAAAGCTAAGCTGTGATAGCTTCTGTAAGCAAGTAATTCCTAAATAGTGTCAATGGGATTTTTAATACCTATAATTTTTCTTGTAGTTGGTATTCCTCATTATCCAAACCACAAAAGGCAGTACACTTAATGGCTGGTCAGGTAGTACATATGCTGACTGCCTCTTAAATTACATCTATAGCTATCTAAAGGCACATACATCTTTTAATACACACAGACACACACATATATATACATGTAATCACAGAATGGTTTGGGCTGGAAGAGACCATAAAGATAATCCAGTGCCACCCCACCATGGCAGGGACACCTTCCCCTGTCCCAGGATGCTCCAAAGCCCA